TATTAATATTAATTTATTAAATATGAGTAATAAGTATACAGTATAATAGTATTGATATTGGTACAATTAGAAAAAATTGATTAGAATTATTATTCAATATTAAATAATACTAATTAATATAATATCTATCGATTATTATTGATTACTATCTTAATCGATAATTATCATCAGGAGGGATTTAAATCGATTACTATCCAATAGCTGATAAAAATCAATAGTAATCCCTATACAAATATTGGTGATGGTTTTTGAACCAAGTATGGTGTAGTTTCTTTGCTTTTGGTATTGTTTCTCCCCTTGGACATGTCTCCTAGGTTGTAGTTGGGCCTGACGGTCAACTTGGAGCTTCTAAGACTCTTGTTTGCACTCATTTTCCTTTCGCTATTGTGTTTTCTTTTATGGTAACTGTATGCGTTTGAGAAAAAGTGATTGTTGTTTGCTATTGAATATTTTTTTAAAAATATAATATTATAAGAATAAGTTTATAACAAAAATAAAATAATCAACCAATAAGTCAATAGCACAGTAGGTAGTGCTCCCTGGTTTCCAAATGTATGTCCCTAGTTCAATACCCACAGGAGGCAAAATGCATAAAATTATTTTTCATTTGTGGGTTTATCAGTTTTTCTACAAATGTCATATTCCAAACATCTGGATCCTAATCAAATTTAGTTAGATTGCATGAAGATGGGATTTCTGGTCTTCTTGATGATCATGGGCTGAAAACAGGTTGAAGCAGGGAAGATTGCACAAGAAAAGGCTTTTGATTTAATTCTAATAAAAGCCCACAAACCCCCCTGGCATGGCAGACTCTGTAGTACAAAGAACACTTTAGCCTGAAGCTATCCCAATCCAACACTTGCTTAAAAGAAGAGGATCCGATAAAAAGTAAAATCTGAAGCTGCAGGTGGTGACAAAGAGTACAGTACCTTCTTTGAGGAACCAGGTGAAAAGTATTGAACAGGTTATCCGAGTGTTCTAACCAACCCTGAAAGGTACACGCTCTAAACGACTACCGCCAGAATCTAGATTAGATTAGATAGTTTAAAACTAGTGATAGGATTTCTATCTCCTAAAGATCCCATCTGGTGTATGGATTCACTTCCTGGGTGGATCAATCCGTATAACTGGGTAAGGCTATAGGTAGGAGTGCGGGTTAACTTAAATGGACCTTGTAGGCATGTAATTAAATATAAATCACTCAATAAAGTTCATGCGCTGCTAATGCTCTTTACCTGAAAAAAAAAAAAAAAAAAATAGATAAAGTTAAACTAGAATACAAAATAAAAAATCAAAATATTTATATGTTTAAATAATAAAATTACTACTCAATCTATATCTTATTAATTTCTTATATAAATAATAAAATATATTGTAATTCACAAAATAAAATCAAAATATTTATATATTTAAATTATGGAATTACTATCTAATCTATATTTTATTAATTTTTATATAAATAATAATATATGATTTATAAACTCAAAAAATAAATAAATAAATTTAAAATCTAATAAAAAACTTTGTTAATATTTTAGGCCTAAAGATCAATTTAAACAAATTTATTTTATTTATTATCAATAATATAAAACAGTTAATTATCAATTTCTAATTAAATATAATCTAAACTCAAGATAAAATTATTGTAATTAAAATTTTAAATATATAAATAAAAGACTTAAGATTTAAAAAATATTAGAAACAATAATACAAAATAAAAATTTTTATTATAAAATTGTTTCAAATAAAAAGTAATAATCAAGTAATATAAATATATAATTAATCAAGTTTGCATATTAGTACTTGAATATTTAATATAAAATATAATTTTTCTATAACAAATACAGAGGATGGACAAAAGTTTATGGACAACTTTTTTTTTTTTTTTAAATAAAATTTAATTTAAAAACTAATTT